TGTTCTGGAATAGTGAAATAAATACAACTTAACCACTGATTTCTAGTCGTGTCCTCTTTTGGAAGGCCAAACAAAGTAGTTTCGCTTTCGCAACGAAACACACAGCGTCTTCACAACATAGCGGTGGCAGCAACAATAAAGTTACGCCTTCTTTCTTTGTGTGAACATTTGGGCGGCGTTATGCAAATCTTCCCACATCGTGACGTAGACATGTGTGGGTGTGTTTGAACAAGGCGATTTAGGAGGGCGTATCTTATGTACTGTTACTGTAATGTAACCTGCTAGCAAGCAGCTAACCATGTCCCTTTAATGGCTCGTGTTATTTTATTAGAACGCGTTATTTGCTTTCCGTGCCTTTCTGAATACAGACACCAACCCATCCCTGCACTTCACATCCCCTGCACAGCCTGTAACATAACATTTATTTCCATGATCTGCCATTTTCACTATTATCCTCGCTTGTTTCTTCACAATACCTGCAGAACTTCTGATGATTTGGCTGTGCAGGTCCGGCTGGCATAGAACATGGGTGGATATATGCAAATGTTTGTACATATTAGTGATCCCGACTGTAACGTCACAGTCGGTGTTATGTTCTGATTCGCCTATTTTTCAGTGGTCTTTTGCATGCACGAGATTTACATAAGGAGGAAACAATGGTGTTTGAGGCTCACGGTATGTCAATTCCATGTACAGAACTGTTATTATTCAACTATGCCAAGGTAAAGGTTTTCCATTCTATGACACCTTTAATGTAAAAAAACAACAACAAAAAAACAAAGTCACCAAATGTCTCCCAAATGACATCTGCATCCATTCTCATTACTTTCATCTAGCTGATTTTGAACCCAATGATGTGTCTAATGTAAATTCCCCGTAAATGGATAGTTCACCCTAAAAAAAAATTCTGTTAATTTACTCACCCTCGGGTAAGATTTTTAGCTAAAACCATGGTCCTTGGTGATTCATAAAATGCAAGTCAACGGCTACAAATTGAGAGTAAAAAAAAAACATTTCAGGCAACACATGATTAATACTTGTGGCTCCTGATGATATATTGAGGTCTTACGAAGTGAAGTGTTCAGTCTGTGTAAGAAACTAAACATTACAGCATAATTACCTGTAATTCATTGCCTTCACGAACAAATCTTTCTTTTGATCTGGCTCTTTTTAGTGAACTGGATGAACCAGGTCACCAAATCAGAGTAAACATCAACAAATACCTACCGTCTTTCAATGTCCAAAAAGCACAGTAAAAGCACAAACTTTAAAAAAATGTCTTAAAGGGATAGTTCATTGTGTCATTAATTACTCACCCTCATGTCATACCAAACCTATCAAGATTTTTTGATGAAATCCGAGAGCTTTCTGACCCTGCATAGACAGCAACGCAACTGACACTTTCAAGGCCCAGAAAGGTAGTAAAGACATTGTTAAAATAGTCCATGTGACTTCGGTTGTTTAACCGTGATGTTATGAAGCTACAAGAATAATTTTTGTGCACTAAAAAAACAAAAATAACGACTTCGCCACGCATGTGTACATCAATAGTCAGTTTAAAATATATAGTTTTGCTTATCTCAAATCAACTTGAGGATGAGTAAATAATGAATTTTCATTTTGAGGTGAATAATGCTTGTGAACACACCTTCTTGTGCTCTGCAGGATCAGGTAGTGAAAGAGGACAGTATCGAGGCGGTAGGAGAGCAGCTGAAGGTTTATCACGAGCAGTATCAGGAGAAGAATCGTGAATATGATGTACTGTATGAAGAATACACACGCACATCACAAGTAGGCTGCATTTCATCTCTCCTTCAAATGCATTGGGATCTAATAAACCGAGTCCCTAACAGAGATGTTCTGTACGATCTCTCTCAGGAGCTCCAGATGAAACGAACCGCCATAGAGGCCTTTAATGAGACCATCAAGATCTTTGAGGAGCAGTGCGAGACCCAGGAGCGCCTCAGCAGAGAAAGCATTGAGAAGTTTCGCAGAGAAGGCAACGACAAGGAGATTGAGAGGTACTCTTGTTTTTCATTAGACATCAGAGTCCTATAATGATACAGATGCTCGTAATTCCTTGGTGTTAATTTGAATTCGAGTCATGTTTTGGCATATATATATATATATATATAAGTATAAGTGGGAAACTTTTTTTTTACTGTCTATTCAGAATTCAGAGCAACTCTGAGAAGCTGAAATCCAGAGTGACAGAGATTCATGACAGCAAGAGGAAGTTGGAACTGGACTTGAAGCGACAAGCTACAGACAATCGAGAGATAGACAAGAGGATGAACAGCTTGAAACCAGACCTCATACAGCTGAGGAAGCTACGGGACCAATATCTTGTGTAAGAACACCTCCCATATATAGAAACAATAATATTTCATATTTTAATGTTAGCAATTCACTTTATAATGTAACAATTTTTATGAAAATGTTCTGTTTTCATGTGTTTTATAATATAAACAATACTATTTTAATGTGTTACCAATTCAATTTATAATGTAACAATTTTTATTATTTTTCTGTTTTAATGTGTATTATAATATAATTTAGTCCTGTAATGGCGAAGCTGAATTTTTAGTGGCCATTAATCCAGTCTTCAGTGTCACTTGATCCTTCAGAAATCATTCTAATATGCCAATTTGGTGCACAAGAAGCATTTCTTATTATCAATGTTGAAAACAGTTGTGCTGCTTAATATTTTTGTAGAAACCATGATGCATTTTTCAGGATTTGTTGATGAATGAGAAGTTCAATTGAACAACATTTATTTGAAAGAGTACAAGAAAGGCATTTATAATGTTTAATGCATTTAATGCATCCTTGATGACTAAAAATTTGACCCCCAATTTGACCGGTAGTATAGATTCATCAGACTGATTATAACTTGTGAGTTTGTAAGTTTGTTTGAATGATTAATTAAAAGACCTGGCTCGTACGAGTTACTTGTTTGTGATTTGGACTATGCTAGTCAAGTTTTCTCACGCTTAAGTGAAGGCACTAAAGACAAAGCTCTATAAAAAACATATTGTCATGACATTGTTTTGCAGTATACAGGCATTACTGCAAGCTCACAATATAATTTATTTTGTTGTGATTAGGGCTGCCACTAACGACTTTTTTTATTTCGATTAATCTATCGACTAATTTATCGCTTAATCTAAACGATTAATTTCCCACAAAAAAATCAACATTTTTACTTAAGAATATTTTATTAAACTATATTTCATTTAGGGCTGCATGATAAATCGCATGCGATATTTAACGCGCATCTTGTCAGAAAGCAAAAAATTGCGCGAATATGAACGTGGTTTTGCGCAGCTCGTCAGTGAACAACGGCTCTGTGTAGTTAATGCTGGTAAAGATAAAACTGTAAAACTCAATTAATTAGACAGGCTTTTTGATTAATACAATTTAATTTAACCATTAAAACAGAGTATAGAAAAATGAAAATGGAAAAAAATTAATTTGGAAATAAAACGGATTTCATAGTGTCCTATAATTATAATAATTTTTTTTGTGGTAATAAAAATAGATATGTTAACAATAGCCTTTAAAATTACTTCAAATACATATATAATAGCAATGAGGCCCCCCTTAGCTCGGTTCGTTTGGGCATATGTGAACACGGCAATCGTGCTCGGATCCGCGCCAAAACAATCGTTCCGAGATCGTCTGAACGAGGTGGTCTCGGCTCGATTAAAAACTTGCTAATGTACATTACGCATTACAACAAAGGCCTGCAGAGGGCACCAACGGCCTGATGATTATTTTTACACATTACTGTGCGACCTAATCTTTGTTTAATATTGACCAAGCACCATTTAATTCAAATGTCCACTTAGGGGTGCTTTCACACCTGGCACTTTAGGACAGAAATGCTATAGCCACTGTAATTAAAAGAATATGTGGACATCAAAACGTGTAAACTCAGAGTGAGGGTTTGA